GTGTGTGTGTGTGTGTGTGTGTGTGTGTGTGTGTGTGTGTGTGTGTGTGTGTGTGTGTGTGTGCAACAGTGTATGTGAGTGCATCTGGTTTTCGCAGTCTTGCAAGCAAGTAGGCGCCGCCGTGCAGTGGGTCAGGGCAGGGGCCAGTCATCCAGAGCCGCCTCCCCACAAACACACCATCACCGAGCCCACACGCACCCAATACCTCCCCACCCACATCCGACGCCCTGGGCGCGCCTGGATTGAATTTCCACCACAGCTCGACGGCTTCGACGGCCCCGCGCTCGCGTTGCTGGCGGAGTTTGACATTTTTGGGGATGGGCACACCACAGCAACGGCGGCGAAAAAGGTGGGCCCATACCACCACGACCGGGGCAGGCGGGCGGGCGGGCGCCCGGCTGCACCGGGCGGCAGTGGATGCGCCGCGCGCGCGCAGCGCTGCTAGCTCACACGGGATGCCGCTGGTCGCTGCAACATGGCCCGCTGGGCGCGCACACGAGCGCGCGCACACGTGCACTTACGCACACACACACACGCACGCGCACACACACGCACGCACACACACACGCACCCACGCACACACACGCACACACGTACACACACACACACACACTGCCCCCAACCCGTCCCCTGTCGCACCCTCAGCTTATCCCGGGCTGCGAGGCCCACGTTCTGCCCATGAAGCACGCCCCCACAGCAGCCCAGATGGACGGCTGCGTAGACCGCGTGATCGCCTTCCTTGCGGACAAGAGGCTGGGGCCCAAGATCTAGGAATGAATCACACCCCTACTCACCGGGCGTGACGCGCCTCGTGGCGCAGTCTTATGAACCGCCTGCAACCCTTCTTCCGCAGCACGCATGCGGCCCCATTGCTGCGATCTGTGCAGCTGTCAAACGCACCGCAAAAACTTTTTTGTGGATAACGCTGCGCCGACAAACAGTCATTGGGGGAAAACGTCAACTGGTTCAGCAGGTCTCACAATATCTTGGCCTGAGGGACTGGCTTGGGGTGGTGGTCGATTTGTCACTTGGAAGTTCTTGCTCCCTTTTTGGTGGGGTGGCCTTGGGTTTGCTTGCAATTGGGTTTGCTTGGGCTTTTGTACTGAGGGGATAACGGGATGTGTTTCTGATGCTAGCACCTCCCCTGTGCAGCGCAGCGTGCGACTGTGCCACGCCATGGCCCGGCCGGTGCCATTCCTCTCCGCGGGCCCGCGGTTTGGCATGCATTTGACCTCTGTCAGCCTGCCATCTGAGGCGAGCCGCTGCCCTCATGCACTGCGTGCCGAGTAACGAATGTTGGTCACGCCTGCAACCTACGAGCCAGAGAGTTTTCATCCATGTGGACTGTGCTCTGCACGGCATTTTCAGTGGGCCCTGCACCCAGCTGTCGGCCAGTCCAAGGGGCTCGCCTTGGCAGACGCTCCACACCGCCAGCCCAGGCCATTACACATCAGCAGGTATGTCCACACAAATTCAAGCGGCTGGGGGTGCCGCGGCGCCCCGCTCGGCGGCCGGCAGAAGCGCCGCCGCCGCGGGGGCGCCCGGCGCGTGCAGCGACAGGAAGAATGGCGGGCGCGGCCGTTCACCATATCGCAGCCCTTTTGTTCAAGACAAATCACCCTGGAGCGCACGCCCCGCTGAGCCCAGCAGGCAGGCACGGAGCGGCGAGAGCGTCACGCGGAAGCTGACCGGATTCCAGGCTTGCCGGGGCAGCCTCAGACGTCACAAAAAAGGCGCCCGCGCGCCGCGGTAGGGCGGCGGCAGCTGGCAAAAGGGCCGGCCCATGCAGGCCGCGCGGGCTTCACGGGGGCGATGCGTGCGCGGCGCTCCCACCCGCGCGCGCGCGGCCTGAGATTGCAGATTGTGAGACGTAAAGATGTTTCACATTGTTCCATTGCTGACACGCAACCCCCCCAAAAGGCGCGACAGCACACATAGTTTTGCTCACACAGTGCGGTCGGCAAGAATCGCGCACCGCCGCGCCCGGCTGATTGGCAGCGAGCGCGGCGGCGGCGCGCATACGGGGCGACCCAGCAAGGGAGGGGCCACCCATAAAAAGGGCCCTGCACCAGACTTGAAGCGTGCAGCGCCGCTGCGCTTGCCGGCGGTCGCGTCATGCATGCACTACTTGAGCGTTCGGCCCGCTTTGTGCCTGTCCTTGTGCCTGCGCTTTGCTATCACTGCAGCAGCCTTGTACTCAACCCAGAAAATAGGCAAGAGACGCCCCTGAAACGCGAACAATCCAAACTCAGCGGCCCGGCCCGGCGCCCTCGGCCTGCAGGGGAGGACCACCCTGCCGGCAACACGGCCCTGCGACACCACACCTCGCAGCAGCCGCCGCGGTGCAGGCCATTGGGAAACCCTCAGGAACTACCCTTGGGCGCCCCCGGACTGCGCCGGACTGCCCATGGACTGCACCGGCTACTGGAAGAACTGGAAGATGAGGCCCTCGCCCTTGGCGCAGGAGTAGAAGAAGGGCGCGAACACCAGGGACTCCACGGCCATGAGCTTGATGAGGATGTTGAGGGAGGGGCCGGAGGTGTCCTTGAGGGGGTCGCCCACGGTGTCACCGATGACGGCGGCCTGGGGGGGTTGACGGAGGCATGTTGAGTGGGGTTTTGAGAGTGGTCAGTTTGGGCTGGATGTAAGACAGCGATGTGGGGGACAGGGAGGGGTGCGGAGAAATTTGGCGTGAGGAGGGGCGCGAGGGTGTGCATGTGCACGTGCGTGTGTGAGTATGTGCGAGTGCTTCAGTGCACGTGAGTGTTGAGCGGGGTGGGGG